GTCACTCCAGGTCCGTGTCCTCCTTGGTGGGTGATGGTTGGTGGGTGATGATGGCTGATGGGTGGTCACTCCAGGTCCGTGTCCTCCTTGGGTTTGTAGATGGCCCCGAACTTCTGCATGTACTTCTTGATGTACTCCTTGGTCTTGTGCTTGACGTTCTCGTTGCACTCCAGGTCCTCCGGGTTCTTGCAGTACTTCAGCTCCTTGTTCATCACCCCGTGAGTCAGCTGAGGGCAGGGATGAGCCACCATCATTCCCAGTATTCCCAGTAACACAAGGCCTGGGGCTGTTCCCCAAACTGGTTTCTTATTATTCCTTAAAAATTGGTCATTATTCCCCCAAACTTTGTCATTACGTCCCCAAAATTCCCTATTATTCCCCAAATATTAGCTATTATTCCCCAAATCTCAGCTAATATTCCCCAAATATTGGTTAATATTCCCTAAATATTCCAAATTAGTGGCTAATATTGCCTAATATTCCCAAATATTTGCTATTATTCCCCAAATATTGGCTATTATTCCCCAAATCTTGGCTAATATTCCCCAAATGTTCCCAAATATTCCCCCAATTTTTCCTATTATTCCCCAAATATTCCCCAAGTTATTTTGTTATTATTCCTCAAACTATTTTGCTATTAATATTCCCCAAATATCTGCTATTATTCCCCATATTTTGGTTATTAATTCCTCAAATATTCACTATTATTCCTCAAACTATTTTGCTATTATTCCCTAAAAATTTGCCACTACTTCCCCCAAAATTCCCCAAATACTCCCTATTATTCCCCAAATATTTGCTATTATTCCCCAAATCTTGGCTAATATTCCACAAATATCAATTAATAATCCCCCAATATTGGTTAATATTTACTAATATTCCCCAAATCTTGGCTAATATTCCCAAATATGAGTTAATAATCCCCAAATAGTCCCCAATATTGGCTAATATTGACTAATATTCCCCAAATATTTGCTATTATTCCCCTAATCTTGGCTAATATTCCCAAATATCGGTTAATAATCCCCAAATATTCCCCAATATTGGCTAATATTGACCAATACTCCCCAAATATTTGCTATTATTCCCCAAATATTTGCTAATATTCCCCAAATCTTGGCTATTATTCCCAAATATCAATTAATAATCCCCAAATATTCCCCAATATTAGCTAATATTGACTATTATTCCCCTAATCTTGGCTAATATTCCACAAATATCAATTAATAATCCCCAAATCTTGGCTAATATTTGCTAATATTCCCAAAATATTCCCTATTATTCCCCAAATATTTCCTATTATTCCCCAAATCTTGGCTAATATTCCCAAATATCGGTTAATAACCCCCAATAACCCCCAATATTGGCTAATATTGACTAATATTCCCTAAATCTTGGCTAACATTGCCTAATATTCCCAAAATATTCCCTATTATTCCCCAAATATTTGCTATTATTTCCCAAATCTTGGCTAATATTCCACAAATATCGGTTAATAATCCCCAAATATTCCCCAAATATTTGCTATTATTCCCCAAATCTTGGCTAATATTCCCCAAATATCAATTAATAATCCCCAAATATTGGCTAATATTTACTAATATTCCCTAAATCTTGGCTAATATTGACTAATATTCCCCAAATATTCTCTATTATTCCCCAAATATTTCCTATTATTCCCCAAATCTGGGCTAATATTCCCAAATATCGGTTAATAACCCCCAATAACCCCCAATATTGGCTAATATTGACTAATATTCCCCAAATATTGGTTAATATTCCCTAAATATTCCCAATTAGTGGCTAATATTGCCTAATATTCCCAAATCTTTGCTCATATTCCCCAAATCTTGGCTAATATTCCCAAATATCGGTTCATAATCCCCAAATATTCCCCAATATTGGCTAATAGTGACTAATATTCTCCAAATATTTGCTAATATTCCCCAAATCTTGGCTATTATTCCCAAATATCAATTAATAATCCCCAAATATTGGCTAATATTTACTAATATTCCCTAAATCTTGGCTAATATTGACTAATATTCCCCAAATATTTGCTACTATTCCCCAAATATTTGCTATTATTTCCCAAATCTTGGCTAATATTCCACAAATATCACGACCCCCCCTGTCCCCGCTGGGGACGTCCCCACGTTGTCACCTTGCGCGCCAGGTGCTTGAAGTCCTCGGTGGTGGTGATGCGTCCCACCTTGCAGTCCGGTTTGCGGTAGGGGTTCAGGCACTGCACGATGAACTGGGACATCTGGGTGACAGGAGAGACATCTGTCACTGTCCCCATCCCCAGGGTGACATGTCCCCAGGGATGTGGTGACACCTCCACTCCAGGTGACCCAACCACCCGTGGAGGAGCAGGTCACCCACTTTGGCGTCACGTCACCCATATGGGACATCTGGGTGACAGGAGAGACATCTGTCACTGTCCCCATCCCCAGGGTGACATGTCCCCAGGGATGTGGTGACACCTCCACTCCAGGTGACCCAACCACCCGTGGAGGAGCAGGTCACCCACTTTGGCGTAACGTCACCCACATGGGACATTGAACCCCGATGTCCCCCTCTAATGTCCCCTTGGGTGATGCCACCGGTGTGGGACACCCTTGGGGACACTGGGGATGCCCTTGGGGACACCTTGGGGACACCTTGGGGACACTGACCTCTTTCCTGAAGACCTCCTTGCTCTTCTTGGCCAGCTCGCTGGAGGTGTCTGCCTCCGCCGTCTTGGGCTTCTTGGAAGACTGGGGAGGGGACAAAGGGCGGGAGATGGTGTCCGGGGATTGTCCCCATCCCTGTCCCCTCCCTGGGGACACCCTGCTCCGGCCACCCACCCCCCCACTCCCTCCTGCGCCACGGCCAGG